ATTATCTATATTTTATTAGTGAATTATTATTATTACTGTTGTTGTTGTATTTGCTTGCATTTTAATATACTGTTTTTAGATCTTCTTAAATATTTGTCATTTTTGTTTGCTAATGTGTCACATAAATTCAGTCCCACCAGCACTAATCTTTCTTCACACACACACAGGGTCTGTATGTGTGTGTGTGTATTTTTAATAAATACACACAAATAAATAAATAATATATATTAGGTAAATTATTCTATATTTTATTAGTGAATTTTGATTGACTGTTAGTGATGCAAAGACAGTGTGTACACATGTCTAAATTACAACAATGCAACAATGAAGAAATCTGATCATTACTACTGCCTGAAAATTTTGATTAAATTACATTTAAATGTAATTACATTTGGTAATTGAAGTATCACTGCTTACTGCTACAGATTAAATAATCTTCTGCCTTTTAAATGACGAGTTTTAACCCACCAGTCAGACTTTTGTTTTGTTTTTTTAAATAAAAAAGTATTTTTTTTATATCTCTATTTTCTTATTTATTGGCTTTAAAACACTCATGAGGGTGTAAATTAAATTATTTAAATGCTTAAATGATTTCTCTGTTTACAAATATTTTGTTTAATAAAAAATTTATGAAAACAGAGGAATTCATAGTTATCAAGTTAGATGTGAGGAAGTGAATAATTTTACTGTCAATTATACTCATTACATACAATAACACGGTTATAATAACAAGGTTCAGAGATGCATTGTTTTCATCTAAAACTCCTGGACGTGACACGAAGTTTAAAAAGATGGAAAATTCTGAATGTGACAAAGAGTCAGTGGCACAGCTCCATGAAGATATTATTAACTCATTCACTGCCAGCCATTGGCAGTGAATGAGTTAAACCCATTGACTCATTCACTGCCATTAACGGCTATAGACGTCAATGGCAGTGAATGAGTTAATAAAGTGATACTGAACCTCCTTAGGGATTAATAAAGTATTCTGATTCTGAAAGAAGTAAAAATTTCAGCTGTTCAAAAAGAAACACCCTCTGCATGAGAGTGTGTAATACACGGGGTAAAGGTGCAGCGCTCGTGAGCCTAAAGGACTGCAGGAAGAGCTAAATCTACTTGATCTAAATGCATGTGCGTGTTTGGAGACTGTAAAGTGAAACTGCTGCACAGTTTAGGAAAGTTTATTTTATGTATTATCTTCCAAGAAAGATTATAAGAAACACAATAACAGGCATGAGAACATAAAATACAATAAAATGAGAGTTTTTTTCTAAAAGGGGTCACATTGTACCAGATTTGTGTGTGTGGTGTGTGCGTCACTCAACCTACATAGATATCCACGTTGAGGTGGGTGTGTGAGTGTCGGTAAACAGTGATGACAGCTTTTCTGTGACCCACTTACAGACACGGACGAACAGAAATGTTTGTGTACACTTAACAGGATGTTTAAAATAAAATTATTGCTCCTTCTTAAAATCCATCACCTCACCGATGGCCTGTTTAGGATTAGATTTATACATATATTATATTATATTAGATTATATTATATTAGATTAGATTAGATTAGATTAGATTAGATTAGATTAGATTAGATTATACATGACTTTTGTATGGAAATATGTCATGAAAATCTTATTAGATACATGTAATAGTCATAGTAATAATGATGAAAATAATAATATTCTTACATTTGAATATGATTTCATTCTACAGTTATAAAAGCTTGTAGTCCATAAACCTATATTTAAAAATAAAGTTTTAATCTTAACACTACCTGCCACCTCATCCTCTCTCGTGGCCGGTGTGGATGAATTTGCCTCTAAAAAGCTCAAGAGTCACCTTATAAACTCCATATCTGTAAACAGAAAACTCAAAAGGGGAAACAGTGATTTTAAGAGGGGATAGATTTATTTTACTGCCAAAGCTCCAGTGACTTCAGTCAAAACTAAATTGAAACTTTTTACTGTTAATACTTTGAAAGCTATAAGACTGCTAAAAGATTTACTTATTACCAAAGAAGGCTCCTTTTAATTTAATAGCAAAAACACGGATCACAGCCAATGAAGGAGGCCTTTATTGACATTTTCCTCCTCTAATTCCCAGTTGTTCTGCTTGACAAAAGAAATATGAAACAATTATATATAACAATTTTCAATATACAGGGGCTGATGAGGCTGAACTCATTTCTGGGAAGAGGACTTGAAACGAGGTCCTGTATTACCAGATCCAAGGCATTAAAAATCAAAAAAAGATTTATATCAGGTACCAAGACTTCGACTTTATAGCAGTTTTATTGTGTTATCTGGTACTCCCAAAAGGCCTTCAACTTTAATAAAGATGTAGAAAAAAAGGTTCATTATTTAACTTTACATCATAAGGATTTTTTTTCTCATCACACTAAATGAACAAATGGTGCAAATTAAAACATAATAAAATATTTAAAACCGAGCATCATTATCCTGGGTTTATTTTTATTCATTGGTCGTTGACCAGTTGATGGTAGGCAGAC